CAGTGGACGGGTTTGTAACGTAGACCGTCTGATTTTAAAATTCATTTATTTACCTTCGACCAGCCTTTAAATATTGCAGTTTTTTTCCTTGCATCATGATAGGAAATTGATAAGTGCAGTCTACCCTTCAAACGAAATCGGGAGACGTTTTCCGGTTTGAATAATTATGAAATAATATTCATAGCCTAGGGAATGCAAGGTTTTCAGACTTGATTTTTAAGAAAACCGATACTATGTCATTATATAAATAAAATAACCATTTTTTAATTGACCAATAATTATAAAACCAAAGTATGGCAATTATTAATATTAGTCATGTCATACTTTGAAAATTTTAGGGGGGGGGGCGTGCGCCCCCCACGCCCCCCTTAAATCCGAAAGTGCTAACTACACTATATAACTTTATAAGAAATCAGCAATAATTTTAGAAAAGAAATCATGTGATCTTTATATCATGATACGAATATTGCTTTGAACATATCATATTGAATAAATCAAAAGGATTGGAAACAAGTTCTTACAACTTACTAGTTCCTCTCCTTACAAATATTCATCTTCAATTCGATATTTAGCTCTACATCATATTTTGCCATTCCCTTTTAAGCGAGATCCAATCACTTTCGTCGACAAAATAAATATTTAAGCGAGTGGAAATGACATAATACGTTATTGGCTAAGCCAATTATCTTTCTTGAAAGAAAAAGGATCTGTTATTTAAACCAGATCAATTTGCGAATAAGTCAACATCAATTTTGAAATACAGACAGTAATGTTGTCGTTATTGTTAAACATACAGTGCAATATGACTTTTCTCTCTGTTATATGTTTCGTTGTTGTCTTTTTGAGGCTATCTCAAGCTACCAATGTTTCAAAGAACTATAACGCCAAACCGGAATTTGATAATAAGAAGTCAAATGAAGAACTTTTAGGAGAATACAGTGTTCACTAGTTGTGTGAGTGTTCTGCTATGTGTCAGAATGAATGCGATTTCTACGGGTACAATTCTAAGTTGAAGAAGTGTCGTGTCCACAAGAAGATCTTCACTTCCTCTTCCGGAATGTCTGACGAGGCCGGATGGAGATATTATTCTCGTTGTATGCATATCCATTACTTCTCTCTCTCCATCTGTCTCTTTCTCTCATTCACTCTCTCTTCCCCTCACTCCCCACCTCTCTCTCTCTCTCTCTCTCTCTCTCTCTCTCTCATAAGCACACACACACACACCAAATATGATTACCTCTGTTAAAAAATAAACTGTATTTTATTTTATTTTTTATTCACAAAGAATTTGAATTTAAAATTTTTAAAAGTTAAACTATAATGAATTTATTATACTAAAGAAACTCATAAATGTGATTTATGTATGCTAGTAGACGATGAAGATACCGAGAATACTTTTCACGCTTTTAAAGTGTATTGATGATTAAGGATTTTAAAGGAATACAAAATTGCTGTTTGATATTAATTTGAAATGAAAGTGAATACTGGTATATCAGTCGTTATTTTTAAAAATCCTTATTACTTTTTATTCAAAATACTTACAATCACATAGCTTTTTTATAAGGCTGTGAAGTCACCTGATCCAGAGATCAATGCTGTTGTCATTAAAAAGATATAAAATTCTAGAAAATCTAAAATTGTACATAATATTAAACAATAGCTTTAAAGATTTTACGTTTTAACATCCATTTCCAGTGTTTTTAACACCTATGATTTTTATTTAAATTTTTTTTAATTTCTAACCTAATGTGTTTTTTTTTAATTTCATAAAACTAACTCGTTTGTAATGTTTTTAAATATTATTAATTCGGGAACATTTTTATGTAATGTAACTATCCGATTTACAATTTTATTGTTTTTTTTTTTCTGCCTTTTTCTGATTCATTCTTTTTCTTTGCACTATAATGTACATTTATTTTGATATAGTTTAATTGGTAAGCGCCTTAGGGTTAGTTTTTTTTATATAGGACGCTTTTCAAATGTTTTATTTATTATAATATATTGGAAATCTAAACCTGAATTATTATTATTTTGCCAATACAGCGTATCTCTTCTTTAATACTTTCTTAATACATTCTTATCTACCTTCGCTCTAGGTTGTTTTTGTCTTTTCGTACAAAATCGTCTTAGTAAAATATATGGAGATAATGAACATTATTCAAGCTCAAAAGTCCATACAGACAATACAAATCAGGAGCAGAGCAGATACGCTCCATAGGCACTCCCCAGCTTAATTGTTAAAAAATATATATCTACTATAAACATAACAAGGCATGAAACTAGCCTCCATGTTGGATTCCGCTTAGGGGCACTTTCTGACTAATAGCGAGAATTTCTCGCCTAAGTCGGACTTTTCTCAGACATCGAAAGCTGTCATTTATTGAAATAAAATAAAATCAGGTTGAATCTTGCAGTACGTTCGTCGCATTCACGCGTTTTCTAACATTTCTCTGCAAACCAGGTCTCCTCGGCCGGAGCTAAAAGGTTTATGGGGGTATAGATTATTTGATCGTCGTTTACCTTCAAAGTGCGTCTCATTGAAAGCTAACGTTGTTTTTCATAACGAACGAATGTACCGTGAAATAAATATAATTTTACATCAGTAAGACCTTTCAAGATTTTATATACATTTTCAGGTCCATAAAAAGCTGTTTCAGTGTGTTTGTGTGTATGTGTGTGTGTTTGGGGGGGGGGTGTCAACTAAACAATTCTTTGACAAAAAAATATAATTGAAGGAGGACAGTCCTAAGTTAGGTTTGTTTTCTGTTGCATAGTATTAGTATATTCATGTATTGGCAAAATTATAGGGGCGAAAGGAGGGGGGGGGGGAGTTCACGTTTAAGCAGATGAGTCTTCAATACAGAGGTGGATTTGACCGGGGGTGGGGGTGCGGTAAAAAAAAAATAAATGTATAGTAGATAAATATAATAAAATAAAGCGGATGTATACCAGGAATAAAAAAATAAATTTATTTAAATAAATAAATATATACATAAGCAATCATGAAGACAGTAGCAAATCTATCGGGGGGAGGAGGGGGTTCACCCCCTTTCAAATTTCTAAGAAAAAAAAGAAAAGGGAGAAAATATTCAATATAAAAGAAAGTCTTGATAAAACTTATGCTTTAATACTAATTTTTACTGCAGTTATTTTTAGTTTCTATTACCACTTAATCATTTTGACCGCCCCCCCCCCCCCCTTTGAAATCCCGGATTCGTCTCCGGATTCGTCTCTTGAAAGTGTGTTACTTACATACATGTAAAGTATAACTTTTATTGCAAAATAAATAAATATACAAGTACATGTATACATGTATATTTTATCCTGATAGGGGGACTTATTTCTTATAGATGGATTCATTCAAATATGCTATAATAAAATGGGACAGTTCTAAAGTTCAAAAATTTCACTAAAATATTATACAAGTGGTTTGGATGTTTTAAATATTTTGTAAGGGTAACTATTTCTAAACATATATTTTGGCATGTTCACATCACCGTTAATATATACAAAGCTGAAACTAACTTCATCAGCTCACTCTTTGTCGATTTTATAACAGTGTTCCACTGAGAATGATAGCCTGTATGGCATTAGTTTTGACCAAAAACCAGCTTCAGTCCAGTTAAAAAATGCAAAGGCAGCTAGATTAGCAGTCATTTAATAGACTAGTTTACTATGAATACGTCATTACAATGAAGTTCCTGAGCCCCGCCTCGCGCTGATTTCACTGCGACAACCACATATAAACACAAACATATATACACAAAGAGTTAAACTATTAATTTCTTCATGTGCAAGATTATAAAGTGTGAATTTGCACATGACAACTACAGTAAAGGATTCAATTCGTGATGCGTAATTCTGAGGGGACAATTATTTGATTCTGATAGATGCTGGCAGATTTTGGAGAAAAAAAAAATATGTCCTTGAAAGTGTTGAAAAAAAAAACTATTTTCCACTAGGAAGAAAATAAATTAATTGACTTTGAGTGATGGTAACCCCACCTCACCCCACCTTCAACCCCCGCTCCCAACACACACTCTAATTTTCCCATTTTTTCTTTATTTTTTCCTACCCACTTTTTTGGTGTAATAGAAATAAAAAAAACTTTCCCTAATCATCTTGGAAATAAATATTCTGTCCTTCAATGACATGAAAATAAACATTTTGACTCGAAAAAAATTCCACCCCCTTTAGAATCAAATTGTCCTTTAAATTGTATTATTCTGTTTTGGTGTCTCTGTAACATCATTGAATTTTCAACAACAAAAAAAAAAAAAGCGCCAAGTCTTTTCTCTGTGTATAGTTCTTTTTCTTCCAATATAACTCACAATTAATTTCGTGCAGAACTTTCCTCTGCAAATATCCGCTTTATTTTATCATATTTATCTACTATACATTTACCCTCACCCCACCCCCGGTCAAATCCACCTCTGTATTGAAGACTCATCTGCTTAAACGTGCCCTCTCCTTTCGCCCCTATAATTTTGCCAATACAGGAATATACTGATACTATGTAATAGAAGACAAACCTAACTTACGATTGTCCTCCTTCAATTATATTTTTTCTTGTCAAAGAATTGTTGTTTAGTTGACCCCCCCCCCCAAACACACACACATACACACAAACACACTGAAACAGCTTTTTATGGACCTGAAAATGTATATAAAATCTTGAAAGGTCTTACTGATGTAAAATTATATTTATTTCATGGTACATTCGTTCGTTATGAAAAACAACGTTAGCTTTCCATGAGACGCACTTTGAAGGTAAACGACGATCGAATTATCTATACCCCCATAAACCTTTAAGTTCCGGCAGAGGAGACCTGGTTTGCAGAGAAATGTTAGAAAACGCGTGAATGCGACGAACGTACTGCAAGATTCAACCTGATTTTATTTTATTTCAATAAATGACAGCTTCCGATGTCTGAGAAAAGTCCGACTTAGGCGAGAAATTCTCGCTATTAGTCAGAAAGTGCCCCTAAGCGGAATTCAACATGGAGGCTAGTTTCATGCCTTGTTATGTTTATAGTAGATATATATTTTTTAACAATTAAGCTGGGGATTGCCTATGATACGCACTTCTAAAACATCAGAGGTGGGATCAGGTGCCATAGAGGAGCGAGCACCCCCTGCATTATGTACATCAAAACGCAATTTAAACTTGTACATTCTTTATTCTCCCCTTTTTTAGTTATTCCTACTGATTGTAAGGAATTTCGTGATAATGGTCACACTAATTCAGGGGTGATTTACCCCTATTGGACCAGCTCCCGTCCTGTCAGAGTTTACTGCGACATGGAAACATTAGACGGAGGGTGGACGGTATGTGCATGTACATTATCCAAACAATAAAATGACTTTCTTTGGTTCTTAGAAAGGAAAATAATGCTGCTGCAGCTTTTGCAGAAAAATGCAGAAACGTAAGCAGATCATGTAATTCTTTTCTGCAATATAAGCAACGTTAATCACCATACGAAGAAACAAAGAAAGTCATTTTACTGTTTATATTTATATCTTTATAAATAATCATCTAAAGTAGGATTAAGAAGATTATACTTTGTATTATTCATGTGCACGCCATTGAATGTTTCATTGATGGAAGAGCCATTATTCAAAGATATGCTTATTACTGTTTACTGACTGATATACAACAAAGATTTTCAAATAAAGTAGAAGACATTCAGTGGATGTAAATATTTCAAAAGTATAGTGTTTGTTACAATTTGCACTTACTGTTTGTGTTGTTCAAAGCATGGTAGGATGGTGAAAAATATACATGGTTTGAGTCTACATCTTTTGCATATTGATCATACAAATGTTTGGAAGAAATGTTTGGAAGAATGATGATTTTAAAATTTACATATTTATTTTTAAAGGCAATCCAAAAACGAGTTAGTGGATCCCTGACCTTTGACAGGAACTGGACAGAATACAAGAATGGTTTTGGTTCCCCGGAACAGGATTACTGGGTTGGTAAGTGTAAATCTCATTCAAATAGTAAATTCAAATAGGGGCTTTCATCCGCTATGGTCTTAGAAAAAAAATTCGTTGTTTTGACACATATTATAAGACTGGATAATATATGTTCAACGATACTCGCTTATTGTGTTTACTTACTTTTAATCAGTCGATTTAATTGACAAGAAGAAGTAAAAAAAAAATCACTTTGTGGCAAAATATTTGAAAGAGACATTTAGCACATATGTCTATAGATAAAAAAAAAATAATTTGATTTTTCCTTAACATATATTTAAATGAAAAACAAATATTTTTTTTATCACTGTTCGTTATTTTTACCTTTTACATTATTTTCAAATAATTTGAAATATTTCTTAAAACAGGAAATGACGTAATCCATCAGTTAACAAAAGTAAAGGACTGTTTCCTATATGTTTCTATCACTGTACAGAATGGTACAAGGTTGTACGAACTGTACGATAAAGTCTCTGTTTCCAATGAAGCAGGGAAGTACAGAATCCTTCTGGAAAAACCTGCCACAGGAACTTTAGGTATGTTAAAAGTAACTAATTATGATATGGATCCAATGACCTTGTTTACAAATACAGTCTGTCATTTGTTGAAAGTCCACATCTTATAGTGGGGCCACCCAGTGCCTTGAGTCTGTCTTCCAATCATAATATGTAAAAGAGAGGCCACACTTAGGCCCTAGAGTCCTTCAAGGCGGTTGGACAAAAATATCAAAATTAATTAATAAGTATATAGAACAAGAATTAGAAAAACATATTTTTTTTTACACTTAATCTAATGTTGTTGAATCGCTTAATAACAAAATGCAGAAAGGTTAAGGAACACCAGAATTAAAAATTCGCAACATTCAATCCTGCATTTATCCTCCATTTAAACGAATTAACAGCACGGCATCTGTTCATCAGAGTTCACACAATTATAACGGGAAAAAAAATCTTAATTCAAGGTTATTCCATGTGTTGCCTAGGTTTCCCTCTAGTTTCGCTAGATAATGCGACTGAAAAAGCACTCACTTTCCGGTCTATCTTATCCTATACATGCTCTTACTATTGAGATGTGGATGGCAAGGGGGCTAACCGAAATTGCCTGTGCCTTGCCGACAATATTAATCCTACAGTACATTAGGTCTTCTAGCATGCATTCCCCAATTCCACATTCCTCCAGTTTGTTCCGTACAATTTGGACACTGAGGAGACTTACATGGCTTTTTAATGTATGTCGTGCAGTTGCACATGCAGTTAAATTCTTTCCACAATAGTGAGTAATTCTCATTTAGCGGTCCTGATGATGTGTCGTTACACTACGTTTAGCCAAGGAGGAAGGACTACACTTCCGGTTCCAGTTAACTTCTGGATAAACCCAGGGTGGTTTTGTAGTTAAGAAATCAAGCGATGTTAATAATTGTAAGAAATTTAAGTATGATATTTTTAAAGGTTGTAGGCAAAACAAACACATACGGTGAAAGAAAACAGACCTCTTGTTAACCAAGTTTTACCATGCCATCTTCACTTGCACATTCTTGTGTGGACAATCACCACATTTAATATTTTTTTTTTTTTTGTTTTTTTTTTTTTTGTTTTTCATAATCAACTAAAGGTAGAAAACACATAGAAACTAAAAAAAATGAAAATAAACAAGCTAATTCAGAGAATTTGTGTCCCCCGCTTAGGGAAAAGGAAGAGCAGGCGCTGTTCGAGGTGTTGTGGGGGGGGGGGGGGGTCACACTGCCCCCTGTATTTGTAGAATTATTAAATGTATACATGTATATTGAAGCAAATTTTAAAAAAATGCCAATATGGATATAAAGATTTCATTGCTTATTCTTTAATATGTGTATAGAAGATTATTTTTAATATACAGAATATTTAATTTATAACACTGTAATAATGATTTTATGAGTTTGTGCACGTCAAACATCATAACTTTTTCATTTCACATATTGAATAGTATCATTCAGTAAATAAAAAAAATAAATTAAAAAAAGAGAGAGAGAGAGAATCGTCCGGGGATTGAACCCGGACTTCTCGCTTGCTAAGCGAGCATCATACCACTGGACCACGGAGGTACTTGATTATACAGCAGATTAAATTCAAACATTAACTCACATATAATGTTTATATTGACGTTTGATATTGTCAGAATTTTAATCAATACATGGTGTCTAATTTAGCCTTTATTAAACAGTTCTAATAGATGTAATAAGAATATACTGTCCGCCGACAACCTGTATTATACGTAATAACTCTCCAAAAGCCCCTGTGCTAAAAAATAGTGCCATGCGACTTTTAATACAATACATGTAAATAATAATTAAAAAACGGGACCTTTTGACCTCAAAATCAATAGAGGTCTTCATTAGGCCACAGGAAGTTGTTATGTAAAATTTCGTTGAAAAGCTCAAAGGATTCTCGAGATATGGCGTGGAAACGAAAGTGTTAAAACAGACAGAATTTATGAATTTATGACCTTGACCTTTGACATTTTGACCTCAAAATCGATAGAATTCTTCTTTAGGCCATAGGAAGTTAACGTTCCTATGCAAAATTTTATTGCGAAAGCTCAAAGGGTTCTCGAGATATCGTGCGGAAACGAAAGTGTTACAGACAGACAGAAATACAGACGGACGGACGGACGGACGGACAGACAGACCCAAATTAATATCCCCCACTTTCATTGAAAGCGGGGGACAAAAATGAAAAATACAAGATGGAACACGTACTTCATGCTTTTCAACAAAACGGTCACATTAGATTTATTACACATTCGATCAGAATTCTTTTGGCCTTGAAAGAAAATATATAAAATTTTAGGCAAAACTATAGGCCACTTATAAATTGATGTAAATGTTTTTAAATTTTTCGAATAATAAAAAGTGGGGACTTAGAAATTTTGACAAGTATATATGTTCCATGTCAACAATGTTCATGATAGCTCAATGATCAAAGAAAGATAAAAATAAGCAAAGATAGTGGTTTTTTACAGTGTTTTTATAATTGAATCTTTTACAACAATTACTGGGACATCATTTTTACACTGTGTTATCACTTTGAAAGATTGCAACCTGTTGTATTGTATACATTTTAAAAAATATTATATTACATATTAATATTTCATTTATTCATTCTTAGAATTATTTTATCGATATTTACACAGAAAATGATCCACTGTTAATTTTTAAGATTCATTAAAAGTGCAAAGCGCTTGGAAATAATTGTTATATTTGAAAAGGTGCTATGTAAAGTTGAAGATAACGAATAATCATCAATCCAGTAGGCCAAATTGATCTGCAGAAGAAGGAACCTGGGAAACACCAGAAGTTGGATCAGGTGCCTAGGAGGTGTAAACATCCCCTGCAGGTCCCCTTGAGACCTATGTTTTGATCAGGTAAAGCTAGTACTCTGCAGTCAAATCCATTACAAGAATATTGATCTAACCAATGGTTTAAAATACAATCCTACCGCAGAATAGGATGCTATATGAATTACGTATTGTATTTTAATATTTATTTTTATTTTTATTTCTCTTTACAAGAGACGGCATGAGAAAGCTTTATCTGTCTGGGATGTAGTTCAGTATTATTAAAAAATAAGATAAAATTGATATGAATAAAACATATCTGTAATTTATTTTCTCTACTTTTACAGGTGACAGTATGGCAAACACTGAGAGTCATATCTTTTATGCGACAGCGATGTACTTTTCTACCAAAGACAGAGATAGTGACTATTCTGGTTCACATAACCTTGCTAACTATTATGGAGGCGCCTGGTGGTTTAACGCGGGATACCACGCCTTCCTCAACGGTCCCTGGCCACCGGCAGAGTGGACCAATCCATGGTGTCCTATAATTACATCCGGGTCATCTGTCAGAGAGACCATGATGTTGATCAAACGTCACTAGGTAAAAACATTAAATCTGAATAATCAATATCTTTTACTTCATGACATTTCCATGAATGTTTTAATCGGCAAAGAGACAATTTCTAAAACATATAAAGAGTACTCTTTTAGATTTCTTAATCAGTATTTTTTTTTTTTTTTTTTTTTACTTTCAACAGATTGACTACCACTCATAATCAAAGGACACATTTGTGATAAAAGAAATAAAATTAAAAATATGATGATCATAAGGAGATACCTATTCTTTTTTTGAAATATTTGTATATTTAGGAAGAAAGATTGTGAATAATTGTTTTAGAAGAGGATTTTTGATTGAACTATTTCTTGAAGTAATAAATTATTGTTAATTTTCTATACTGAATGTACCAAGTTAAACCTGTTTGTGTGTTGTAATAAATTAGAAATAAAAAAAATATTTAGTTCTAATTTACAAACTCTGCCACATGACGTTCCTGGGTAGATAATCAAAATGAAAATTGCACTATTGTAAATGGTATTGCAGTGGAAACTGTTTAATCCGACACCTGTGCAATCCGTTTCACTATGTATTTCGACATTCAATTTCATTCCCAATTCTACTAATTTCCATTACCTTTACACAGTGCAATCCGACATACTGTTTATTCAGACACAAAATGTGTGTCCAAGTGCATATCAGAGTAGACAGGTTTCACTGCATTGAAGATACTTTTGTTACAAAGTTAGAAACATTTGATGTTCATGCTGTGAGTACATTATATTCAAGATTATTCTTTTCCAAGGGTGATATTCCCCATCTTCTGTCATGCTTGCAATACTTTGAGAGGATGAGGAAATATAACTCATTAATCTACCATGCAGTATAATTGCTTTGGTGGATGCTCTTGTTTCATTTTAATTTTGAAGGAAAAAATAAAGCTTTTTTTGACATCAATGGTACTTCTTAATCAGATTAATACAAATTGAATTGTATTATTTATATATTGATATTGTTCTCCATCCAGAGTTGTCGTTCCTGCTCCGCTCCCTTATACACCTCTGTCAACAGTTGGTATACAAGACTCTTGGAAAAATTGTAAATGGTGAAAAATTAAATTTAAAAAAATCTTTTAAATCATAATATGTATCAGTATAAAGAACATTTTTAATCTATCATCCCATTAAAGTATTTTTCCCTAAGTTTTTATTACTACTCAACAAAAATGTTCATTAATAACCGAGAAAATAAATCTTTTTAAGGAATGTTAGGTTTAAAATAATGATAAACTTTCAGCTTTATTGATATTTTCGCTAATTTATTATGATTTGAATTTTAAACTTATTAACTTATTTACTTATTAAAACTTTAACAAGAATCTTGTACGAGCCTTGACAGTGGTGTTGGGGGCGCCAAGAAAGACAACTCTGGGTAGAAAATGATATTTATATCGATTTACGATTTACATGTCATAAGAAACGTAGTAGTGCCAGATTCGTGCGCCTGACTGGTCTAATTTATTGTGGATATTCTATGATGCAAAAGGTCAATGACAAATAATCACGTTTTCTGAAGGTCAATATCACATTTTGCTAGAGTTAATCATTTCAAAAGAAAAAGTTGAGTTTTGCAGCTTTTTTTGTGTGTAAGTTATCTTTAAGAGCATTAAATCTAATGATTCTAAAGAAAATGACATTTTTATATCGAAAAAATAAAACTTAAAAATATTGAAAATGATGTAAGTGTCCTTAGAAAAAATCGATTTGCGCTGATGTACATACCTTTGTGTTTGGGACATTTTAACACTCTTTAATTTAGTCTAAACAAACTACAAAGAGGGAAAAATATATTTGCACTAAGAACCTATTCGCTTCGGCATTGTTTATTACATAACATGAAGTGGAGATCCAATTGTTTTTCTTCTTAAATAAATATATGATATATAAATGATATATAAATGATATGTCTTTAAAAATTTCTAGGGATAACTGTGATGACTTCCACTTTTCTATCTTCAACTTCTCTTATTTATGTAGCAATATGCCATTATCACCTTTTTTTAAATCTATTCATTACACATGAGCATAATCTACGTAGGAACAATTTCTAAAATGAGGCAATATATTGACAAATAACTTGATGGTACAAAAAAATCAACAATCTCGTTTTAAGTCAACATTTTGCAAATTCTATGGTCAATACAATGACCACGACAGCAAAATCAGTCCTTTGTTAAATCGAATGTTGATCGACTTTTATCATACAAATTGTTCGGCCATTATTTTAACACTTGAAAGTCTAAAGATTTTCCCGTTTCCCCGGTCATAACAAGGGACACAAGGCGGGTGTAATCTGTCCACAAGGTATGTTTACGCCTCCATGGCACCTTATCCCACCTGTAAAGTTTTTTTTTTTTTTTTTTTTTTTTTTTTTTTTGTATGCTTGCTTTTCCATGACCTTTGATCCAACCTCTGATGTTTTAAAGGTTTGTGTTTGCTCTGCTCCCAATTGTATTTATTCAGTAGACTTTTGAGCTTGATTACTGTTCTTTACCTTCATATTTAACTTGATAAGATACTCGTTATTTTAAATACAAGGGGATTTAGCTAATATCATTACCGAGAATACAATGCATACTTGGAAACAAAATGGTGTTTGAACTGTAAAAATAATATTTTGTAAACAATCAGCTATTTTTCAATCAATTAATCTTAAGGAAATTGTCTTCTAATTTACACATATTTGATTTTTTTTTACTGAACGATTTTAGTTTTTGAACCAATTATCATTGCATTGACCGAATAACTGGTTAACCGTTAACAATTTATCATCCATAGTATATTTATACATAAGTAAGGGAGACTGATCAGAGAAAAGATTGAATCGTATTAATTATAAAGTTGTTGATAGTACATTGTATGCCTTTAATATCTTTTATATTAAATTGATCAAATATGTACACATGTGTCATATGTGTGACCTGTCGGCAGGAGATGCTCACTCCATCATGGCACCTCATCCCACCTCTCCTGTTTAATGGGCCCGTGTTTGCTCTGCTCCTGATTGTATTGTTTATATGGACTTTTGAGGAAACGGTTTTGGTTTAAGTAACCAAAAATAGTTATATGTTCTAATCTCTCTCTCTCTCTCTCTCTCTGTAGTACATCAGGTAGCTTGTTTAGATGTTCCTTGTAATTGTTCCGCTTGTGATGACACGGGCTGCATATTGTATGGAGACATGCAAGCAGAACTTTAAACTGATTGCACAGTAAGTGTAGATCCCGAGGGTCCTTCATAGGGTGGCGGAGATACAGTGCTAGAAGTAGCGTCAGAATCATAAGCCATGCATCCAACAAATGTGTTCCGAGCTGAAATAAAAAAAAAATCTTCAAAAATTGATAGGAAAAAGAGTGCATAAACTTTCCAAACGGCTTTTATGCCTACTCTAAATAATCATTTCCTTAGTGCTTTTCTTCATTATTACTTTCATACGATTTCTTATGTTATAAGAGAGTTTTAATTTATTTTTTTTTCTTTAGAAAACGTTTAATTTCAGTCTTATTTGATTTAGTATAACATAAAGCTTAAAATGTTTCAGTGATTCAGTATTTATATGTCCGTGTATTAGACAGAACATTCAAACGGTAATATGTATACAGTGTTAAGGTTTAAATACATGGATTGATGTAAGACACTGTTGGTTGCATTGGTCTGACAGTCGTGTTTCCACAATTCGGCTTTTTGCAGATTTTAGCACATCTGACCACGAGGCACAGGAGGAAGACAAGTCCTAAAATACTCCCAATTACACCTCCAGCGACTCCTCCTGATGAAGAATAACTGATCGAAATAAAATAAGAGTAATAAATAGTTCCATGTTACAATCAAGTACAGTGTCAATAGTGTCTAAACTTATGAGTTACTGCATCTACAAATGAATGATTGTTTTAAAACCGACCTCTAATTGTGATGGGGTCTTTGGATTATATATTTCATATTACATATTTTACATTGTATTTCATAGAATAGAAATGTGGAGGACTTCTGCTCATCATGAAATAAGAATTGCAAAATTTAACAATAAATTAATCTACATATGTTTCATACATGTATATTTAAACACGGCGAAGAAGACCAACACCCACAGGATGAAACTCTGCCATTCAGTTAACGGAAACGTGACTGAAAGATTACTGAGAGGGTGACGGAATAGCAAAGCTCTGCGGTCACTTTTCAAGACCTTTCAGTGACCATTCAGTTGACTGAAAGGTGTGGTCTCATCCTGTGATGTGGGGTCAGCACTGAATGACATCACTCTTCATCTACTTCTATTGATGTAGTCTATGGCCCACGATATCCTCCCAAGCTGGCCATGTTCTAGAGAGCCAAGCCTCCGATGCGGACAATTTAGCACATCATCACATCCTTAAAAATTGTGGTCGTTGCCAGCGTTGCGCAGTGGTTAGAGCGGAGTAAGGAGTTGATCCATACGTCGCGGGTTCGAATCCTATTGCGGGACGTAGTAGAGACCGGTCCTTCGGTTGAAACCAAGCAGTTAGGGTTCTTTATAGTGCCATGGACTAACTTGACACAGGGCCTCGGTTTTCAAGGTCTCATTCGAAGGAACCTCTACTTTCACTCCAATATGCCGAGCGCTTGGTAAAGGAACAGTTGCTACCTATTTTTTTTTTACTTAGGTCAGTCGCAGTCGTGATTCGAACACACGACGTTCCGATCACGGAGCGAGCGCTCTACCAGCTGAGCTACCGTGACGGTCGAGGATTAGTGGAAAGGATTAATGGGAACGTACTAATCACCCAAAACAAGACCAGATCATTGGATGTTAAATTAAAGTCAATCTTGATATCATTATTATCACATTTGACATTACAGATTATATAACATTATGTTATTCTCGAATGCATCAGTATCATTCATGTCTAGCAAAACAGCAGAAATGAAGTTTGAATCAGGTCAACATATGTCAAATATCCTTATTAGATTAAGCAATGGATGTTTAATTTCAATGCATATTAAGTATCTCT